ATAAACACAATGATTTATGGGTTTTGCTTCAAATAGTTTATAAATTTATAATTTAAAAAGTAATCGAAGCTTTTTTAGTGGTGTGAAGTTATATTAATAGTATATTATTATACGAGCAACTCGCTACGTTCGTGACATAAACTTAACCTCAGTGAATAATAGCTCATTATATGTGAGTAGAATACTATACTTTGTTATACTATTGAAATTGATTCGATAAATTTATTTCTTTAACTAAATTTTGGAATAAATTTTAAACGTCAAAGGACACAAATTCAATGTTACCAACTGTAACCAACTTCACAACAATTTGTCAAAATTAAATGTCAATTTTATGAAACGTCACGTTTTTTTAATATTTAGAAAGTCCTAAAAAGAATAGTATATTACAGTGTAAGTGAGGAAACTATGATTTTTCATTAACGCGTATGTCAGATATATGGAGTAATTTTGTACATAAATTATGAGCCACTGTTTAAATAAAACTTACTTAAACCCTTGCGACCTATAAATAACCTTTTAAACTATTTGTTAAATAAATTAATAATTACATAAACTTTATTACAAATTAATATTAATGCTTTTTCGCTGGTTAACCTCTCCTGACTTTAACAATGATTAAGATAGTTTCGTAGAAATGCAACTCTCTAAATAAAAACTTCGTACTAAAAATGAAACGCATGTGACGCCATCTATTGGGAATATTTTGGAATTATTCAGCTAAGAACCAAACCACGAGAATACAGGTTGGATCGGGTTTATACATAAAAGCTCCAAGCACAGAATAACTGTTTGGAGCCACTATGTGGTTCCAATTAACGTTCCAACTGGTTGGGAATTAATACACCTGTCAAATAATGCCGCCACATTTGAATATCAGGGCGTCATATGACATGTGAGATTGCATCTGAAGAGCTTCCAACCTGTTATAATGTTAGCTGAAACAAAACTATAATGTCAATTATAATCTAATTATTTAATCATACCATTATTACTTAATTATACTCTTAGCAAAAAATCACTTTAAAATGACGTTTTCATCTGTCATTCTGAACAAACATCAACTTTTTAAAACACAAATTTAAAAATACATTTTAAATTAAAAGAATGATACTGGTAATAATTGTTGTTGCTGTCTCTCATCATTCCCACTATTAATAATAAAATTGTTAGTTTAATTAAATTATTTCAGTATAAACGCTAATGCCATCTTACGGTGGGATTTCGACATACAATCAGTGCCAAGTTCTCCTATCTAAGATCCCTGAGGTTGGTCTACTTCCGGTAGATCGGAAGTGGCGGCCACCTTAAAAATATTTTAGATCAAGAAATCCGAATAAACAACAAATGCTACCGAAATTTCAAACCTCTATGACTAGTAGAACCTGAAAAAGTTCTAACAAACCAGTTATGTGAGACACTCTGTATACATGTACAGTGTAACAACAAATTTTTTTTCTGAAAAAGCGTCAAGGGTTACGATGTTTTGAAAATTAGTAAAAATACTTAGAACTGTGTTCTATTGTGTGGTAGAATTTGGATCAATTCGAAGGTGGACATCAGGATGAAAACATCCCTTTATTGGAAGTGGGGGTTGAAAAATTTTTTTTTATCAAATGGGGTTGTACGTTGTTCTTGAAGATAAGAGTGTCCCGTATATGAAATTTGGCGACCCAAATCGTATTGGTTACAGAATTATTAACGTTTTAAGTTTATGGCTGGAATTTATGGATAACTTCACACCAGTAAGCTTTTTAGCAGTGATAATGGCAGCAAGGTGTTTATTTATTTAATTGTTTATAACTCACCTGTGCCTGTTCATCCAACTGCATTTATTTATAAAGAAATTATAATAAATACTCAAAAACACTCCATATTTTTTATTTCTTTTAAATAAAAAATTTTTACCTGATCTAAAAATTCCGGTTCATTCGCCGAAGCATCCCAACGATTATTCAAAATAAATATGTTTGGTTTAGAAAGTTTCGTTGACACTTTATGAAAGAAATTTTTCTCCTAAAATTAAAAAAAACGATAACAATCAACTTAACATTAAAAAAAAAGCAACCCACCGTAACCATCAGTGTAGATTCAGCATTCGCAACCAGCACAAACACATCGGCATCTAAACAATGCTTATCGATCCATTCGTCTAAGTTTGGGGTAACATCAACACCAGGGGAATCAACAAAAACAACATCGTCGCGTAAAAGAAAGCAACGATTTCTTGGCCAAAACACCCGGACTAATTGTGATTCACTCAATTTCTCTTTACACAAAGCATGGGCGAGTTGCCCAACGGATTCTACAGAACATTTTTCATCGCTTCCTTCCAAAACTAAATAAGCCTCATCATTAGGAGATCCCTCGACTTGTAAAAAACAATTTGTAGTGTGCCCTATTCCGCTTGGTAAGATCTTATCGCGTAACATTGCATTAATAACCGTGCTTTTTCCATTCGATGTCCTCCCAAAAAAAGCTACTTTCATGTGATCGCGAGCCAAAACATCTCGAATACCATGAACTTTATTAACAAATTCTTCCGATTTCTTAACCGAATTTCCATCAATAATTTGTTGTTGCTTCTCCAATTCGTGCATATAATTAACGGTATCTTTAACATAATCTTCAATTTCAACGAAAATATCGTTAATTTTCTTTTTCGCCCGAACGAATATCTGCAAAGGAGAGTTGTCAGCGCCGTTTCTAATCACCGGATGACGAAGATCACTGGAGCCTCCGACTATAATCGGACGATTGTGAGGACCATCCCCGGACATCATTGAAACAGTGCGATTTAAATAAGCTGCCATTGTGTTGTTGTGCGAGAAAGGTCTTCACTCAATAATAAACATCTAACATGCAAACAGCAACTGAAACAAACAAAAAAATAAATTATTTTTAATCTGCAAATTGTAAATGTGATGAAAACTAAATAAACAGGTTATAAAATAAAAAAGTGAGGTTATGAAATTTTGCGAAATGTCAAAAATGACATTTACTACAAAAAAAAAACTTAAAAAATCATGTTCTATGTCTAAAAATAACACATAATTCGTAATAAGCACCACCATGCATAATTAAATCAAAATGAAAACAAGAATTCATTTAAACCTGTTCATTTCGTAGCATTCTCCACCACGACCTAACCTCAACACGCTATAAAATAGAAAAAAAAATCGATATCATATCGTCATAATTACATCTTTAATTTGCAACGAAATTGTTTTGGATTGCCAAAACTCACCTTAAAACGCGTAATCTAGCCGTTTTACTGCGTCTTATTTTTTTATTTTCGAACCCAAAATAGCTAGACGAAATTGCGGTCACATTGTATCGTTAAAACGTCGGATAGTTTTGCAGGTTTTCACCACTTTTATGTGACAAACTCGTTAGCGGTTGATAAGCGCGTTACAATTATTACTAATCAGTTTACTTACATTTATTTTAAACGTTACGTAATGTTTTTTCAGTAGAGGCTTTTTGGGGAAATGATCTTCGACATGTGCAACACTGACTTTCTACAAAACTGACTTTGACATTTTTGAACATTGACAATATTAACTAATGTTTTTACTTTCTTGATATTAATTTTGCGATTTAAATTTAGATTAAAATAAAATCACTTGGTTTTAATTAAATTGTTGCTTTAATTTTTATTATTGACGAAGAAATCTATTAAAACTTCGTTCTTTCTTCAATAGATGGCTTAGTATTACAATTAATTCTAATTATAATTTTTAATAAATTTAACAAATTAAGCATTATTAATAAAATAAAACTAAAAAGATAATTATATTTGAGTTTTGTTATTAAGATAATGACACAATCTTAAAATGATCAATGCTTATTGATACTTATCAAACATTACGATAGATGGCGCAAAAAATAATTTAAAGATTTTTTTAAAAATTTCTTTTAATTTTTAATCATCAAGCCAAACGATCAGCTTCTTTGGGCCATTTGTAAAATCCACCACGTTTTTTAAACATGGCTTTATCAAATCCAGAAAATTTCAACGCATTTTTACTGCGATATCTAAAATGGACTTCACGTTAACTTTTCGAAATTTGGAAGTACCATAACTTCATTTTTTTAAATGGTACCCCCTATATTTTATTACTTAGTCGTCTTCGACGTTTCATTTTACATCTTTTATATCCCATATGTCCTATACTTACCATTAATAGTTTGGGAGATAATTAAGGTTTTTTGAAAATGCACACATAAACATTCTGGTATAACCGGAAATGCTATGAATCTGAAAATATTTTACTCGAAGAGAACGCAATTGATTATACTTAAAATATAAATAAAGTTTAAACTATACAGGTCATAGAGGTATATAGGTATATAGAGTACTAAATGAAGTGGGAGTTTGAAAATTGGCGGGCTTATGATGTTTGATGTGAGCTTTTTATTTAAAATATTTTCAGGTTCCGGGTACTTGTGATTGCACCGGAAGTGGTGACAGTTTTCATGCTTTTTATAGACAACATTTCAATTAAAATTATACATATTAAAATTGAGGTTATATCTTTCCATTTTTGAATTATTTTCTGTTTTCTTCGTGCAATATGCTTAAAATATAAATTATCTTAAGTTGTTTTACTTCGGTAATTTATTTATTGAATATTTTGAGTCAAAACTTGTTCCCATCAGTATTTTTAGTCAGCTTCTTTGTTCGATATCCACTGCTATCTTTCCATAATATAGACGTGGTTTCCAAAAATTTAGCAACAATCAAGAATTATCGGGAAAGGACATCAAAAACATTATACACCATGAAATCAACCCAACCCTATCTCAACCCAACCCAACCCAACTGAACGGAACCATACCCAACCCAACTAACATAAAGATAAAATTAATACAAACTGAAATCTTCTAATTATATACTGTATATCTATAAACAAGGCTGAAATTAAGATTTTAA